TTGAAACAAGGGTCTCACTGTCACCTAGGCTGGAGTGCAGTGGCACCATTATGACTCACTGCAGCCTTCACCTTCCAGGCTCAAGAGATTCTTCCACCCCAGCGTCCTGAGTACCTGGGACTACAGGTGTAAGCCACTGTGCCTGGCCCAGGAAATCTTTTCTAAGGGTCTGATATGTGCCCGGCTCAGTGAGGCTGCAGTGAGCAGGAGCAGAGTGTTCCTCTCTCAGTGGGGCCTCCAGTGAGCGTCACCACTCCTGGGGCTGCTGCTCACAGTGAGGGAAATGGCGCCCCCTGGAGTTGGGCAAAGAGGAGTCCGGGCAGGGGCCTCAGTCCTAGGAAGAGATAAACAGGTAAACAGGTACATGAGCGGTAAGACACTCTCTAGATGTAATGAAGGAAATGCACAGGGCCGTGGAAGAGACCCATGGCGGGGCCTGCTCCAGAGGGGTAGTCTAGGCAGCAGCTCTTCCAGGGTGAGGGAACAGCTGGCGGGAGATCGTGCCGTCAGATGGAAAATGTGCTAAGTTGGGCGAAACAGCCTGGCTTCCTGACACTGCCAGCTGGGTGATCTGGGACAGCCCTCTCTCCTCTTTTAGACTCCCCTGGTTTGCTCAGGTTACAAACAAGGTCTTGGGATTTTTGCTTATCGGGTCAGGCGAGGTGGGCATGTGCCTTCCCTTTTTAAAGTGCCAAGTGAGGCAGGGGTCAGAAGCCCAGCACCTGGGGATGGCATGGGGGCATGTTGTGGATGTCACCCTGCCGGCTTGGATGGAGGCTGTGGGATGTGTGCGGACTTTGGAGCTGGAGCCAGCCCACCCTAGCAGACCGCTGGGCCAGTGCTCATCAGGTGGGAATTAAGTCTCTTGCGGTTAGAATTTCCACTTGTTTAGCTCTGCAGTTGATGTGCTGAGTTGTATGTTTTTAGGTGTCATGAATCCAGAAGTGAACAGCACCCACTGAGGGTCTAAGGAGCTGCACCTGTAGGCTGTTTTGGCCTTGGGCTGCCAGTTTGGTACCTGTTGAGTCTTTGTGATCATCCGTGAACCCTTATGTTGCCTCCCTGCAAACCCATCATGGAGAAGGGGAGTCAAGGACCCCTGGCCCAGGTGGCTTAGACGTGCCCCACACAGATGGCGCCGAAGTGGGCTAATCTGGAATGAGCCTGGGGAATCCGATTAGGACCAGGTCACAGGAAACGGTGAATGCAGGATGCTGACCAGGCACCCCTGTGTGGGTGGGCAAGGGAGCAGGTGAGAGGGAGGGCTGAGAACGGGGTGATCCCTGGGTCTGGGGAAGTGGGCAGGTGCCTGGAACGTTGTGTGCGGACCACCCCTCTGCAGCAGTTCTGGCCTTTTGGGACCCAGCGTTAACATAAAAAGACAGTACTGGTCTGGGCTCAGTGGCTCCTGCCTGTAATCCTAGCACTTTGGGAGGCTGAGGCAGGTGGATCATGTGAGGTCAGGAGTTGGAGACCAGCCTGGCCAACATAGTGAAACCCCCATGTCTACTGAAAATATAAAAATTAGTCAGGTGTCATGGTAGGTGCCTGTAATCCCAGCTACTCATAGGCTGAGGCAGGAGAATCCCTTGAACCCTGGAGGTGGAGGTTGCAGTGAGCTGAGATCACACCACTGCACTGCAGCCTGGACAACAGAGTGAGACTTTGTCTCCAGAAAAAAGGCAGTACCCAGACCCCTACCTAGTGCCTCAAGGACAATGTAGGTTCCTCCCAAATCCTTCCCCTCCAGTTCCAGAGCACTTGAGAGCCTACTGTTCTGGAGCCAGGCCAAGGACTGGGACAACCTCCCTCCCCTGCCCCCATCATCCAGAATCCAGAGCTTAAACAACCAAGATGTGGCCGCACACGGTGGCTCACGCCTGTAATCCCAGTACTTTTGGAGGCTAAGGCGTGCGGATCACAAGGTCAGGAGTTTGAGACCATCCTGGCCAATGTGGTGAAACCCTGTCTCTACTAAAAATACAAAAATTAGCTGGGCATGGTAGCGGGCGCCTGTAGTCCCAGCTACTTGGGAGGCTGAGGCAGGAGAATCGCTTAAATCCAGGAGGCAGAGGTTGCAGTGAGCTGAGATTGCACCACTGCACTCCAGCCTGGACTGCAGAGAGACTGAGCAAGACTGTCTCAAAAAACAAACAAAAAAACCAAGCTGCATTACCTCACAGTTTGGAGGCCAGGGTCCAAGGTCAAGGCCTCGTCAGGGCTGGTTCCTTTTGAGGGCTGTGAGGGAGAATCTGTTCCTGCCTCCCTGGCCAGTGGGAGCCTCAGGTGCCCGTTGGCTTGTCTGTGAGGTTCTCCTGGTGGGTTGCAGAGTGCATGAGGAGGGGAGGGCTCGCGGAGGATGCAGAGTGTGGGGGCAGCAGGCATGCCCAAGAGTCTGCAGTTCCAGGTCCTCTATTTGAATAGGAGAGTCTGGGTGGGCCTCATGAGAAGGTGACTTTCCAGCAAAGCAGTGCAGGTGCGGGAGCTGCTCACACAGACTCCAGGAGGAGAAAGGAGCTTCCAGGACAGGCCTGGAGGTGTGAGCTGGTGGTGCAGGATGGGGAGAGAGCAGAGGAGATGAGGTCCTTATCTTCTTATCTGAGTTCAAGCCCCATAGTACTGGCTTTCTGGAAACAGTCTCCAGGTGTTCTACATGAAGGAGGGACGGTCCCGCTCTGCCTGGAGTTTCCTAAGGACAGAGGGACAGTCTTTGCCAGCATCTGGCCCCTGGCCAAGCATATTCACCCAAACCTGTAATCCCAGCACTTTGGGAGGCCAGGTGGGAGGATCGATTGAGGCCAGGAGTTCAAGACCAGCAATATAGGGATATGCCCCCCATCTGTACAAAAAACTCAAAAATAAATGCTATAGTGGCACACCTGTGGTCCCAGCTCCTTGGGAGGCTGAAGTGGGAGGCTCACTTGAGCCCAGGAGTAAGAGGCTACAGTGAGCCATGATTGTGCCACTGTACTCTAGCAAGACCCTTTTTTATTTTATTTTTATTTTTTTGAGACGAGGTCTTATTCTGTCACCAGGCTAGAATGCAGTGGCATAATCATGGCTCACTGCAGCCTCGGCCTTGTGTACTCAGGCAATCCTCCTACCTCAGCCTCTTGAGTAGCTGGGACCATAGGTGTGCACCACCACAGCTAGCTAATTTTGTATTTTTTTGGTAGAGATGGGGTTTCACCATATTGCCCAGGCTGGTCTCAAACTCCTGAACTCAAGCGATCCTCCTGCCTTGGCCTCCCAAAGTGCTGGGATTACAGATATGAACCACTGTGCCCAGCCGACCCTGTCTTCAAAACAAAATTATCTGGCTCCTGAAGCCCCTTGCTGAGGGGGATGTGCAATTCTTTGTCATAAGCTGGGCTGGATTCAGGCTGCAGGTAGTATTTAACTTGTGCAGTTTAAACAAAAACGTAGCATGGGGAATTTTGAATAAATTGCCCCTATTTTATTTTTTTATTTTACTCTTTTTATTTTTTGGCAGAAGAGCACAAGACCTTTTATTTTAAATAGAAAGATTTTATGTAAAAATACAGATTTCCAGTTC